TCCACACCAATGTTCCAGTATCCCTCCCCCCCATCTCCCCCCGCACTCCTGGGGCAGGTGCATTCCCCACCCCCCTTTAGTGTGTCGTGGTTTGCAATATTGGTATTAAGTGGCCATCATGTTTGGTCTATTGTCTACTTTCAATACACATCTCCCATCCTGAGCAGGCCCTGCAAGCATCCTTTACTTGGTGTTCCCTTCTCTATCTGAGCTGCCTTTTCCTCCAGCATGTGAGGCCAGTTTCCAGGCTGTGGAGCAATCCTTCTGGTCCTTGTCTCTACTATCCTTGGGTGTTAGTCTCCCATTCTGTTACTTTATATTCCACAAATGAGTGCAGTCCTTCTACGTCTGCCCCTCTCTTTCTAACTCATTTCACTTAGTATGATACTCTTGATTTTGTTCAACTGTATCATCCATAACATCCATCAAAAGGTTTAAACTATCAATGTGACCCATAGCCCAAGAAAGAACAGGAAAGACAAGAATTGAAAGAAGAAATATAGATGCACAGAAGGTATTTGGAGAAATTATCTGCATCATTTATTATCATAGAAATGCAAATACAAACAGCACCTATATATCACATTATACCAGTGGAACTGGCTCTCATCAGAAAAGAACAAAAATAACCACTTGTTGGCATGGGTGTGGGGAAAATGGGACTCTCATTTTCTGCTCATGGGCATGTCTTTTGATCCGACCATTTTGGAAAATAATATGGGCACTTCTGAAAAAGTGTCCTAAACATAACCTAAAAAACTAGGACACTTCTGAAAAAAAAAAAAAAACAGGACTATGACCCAGCAATTTTACTTCTACGCATCTCCCCCAAGGTCTCAAAAACTGTTTTCAGAAAAGACATTTGCACTCCTGTGTTAATTGCACCACTATTTACAATAGCCCAAATTTGGAAACAACCCAAATGTCCAGGAACAGATGACTGGATAAAGTAACTATGGTACATACAATGAAAACTTCTTGGCTATAAGAAAAGGTGAAATCATGCAAATTGTTATTATGTTTTCTGGATCTTGAGAGCATCATGCTAAGTGAAGTTACTCAAAAGGAGAGGGAGAGACACAGAATAAACACTCTCATATGTGGGAAACATAGTAGGTGAATAACAAATGCCCAAAGGCAACAGAAATTGAGAGTTGGTCTTCCGTAGGAAGCTTACCATGAGGGTCAGTAGTGGGAGGGACACTGGGGAAAGAGTGGAGGAAGCAGACTCTCTGCTGAAGGTGTGGTACTGGAATGTTTCATTCATGTTTCATTCACAGACTTGTAAACCATGGTGTCTAAATTAAAAACAAACAAACAAAAAAAGGAAATTCACATTTTGACAGGCTTGAGGGGTGGTTGGGGAAATTGGAAATAATGGTGGTGGGAAGGTGCAATGGTGGTAGAATTGATGTTGGAATATTGAAAGTAACAAATCATCATGAACAACTTTATAAAAACTAACTAAATAAAACAAAAATCCACATTTTGCGTGACTAAAAATAGATACATAAAATGTTAATCAAAGAAGAGCTGAAGTGAGGGCAGGGAAATGAGAGTGGAAGCAGGAGTGCAGGAGGTCCTAGAAAGCAGAGAAAGGTAGGTTCTCTGGAGAGAAGAATGAGGGGTTCCAGAACCACATCACAGGGGTGACTCTGCCTCCCACTCCAGGAACGAGAACAGCAGAGGGTATATCTCTGACTCCATAGCCACTGCCCGATGCAAGGAAGGACAAGCAGGTAAGCAAGTCTGAGCCTCCTGTACTTGCCGGGGAGGGGGGAGGGCAGGGGGCTTGACAAGGAAACCCTGGGTTGTTCATTCCCTTTGGTGGGGGGGACACTCTACACTCTACCATCTCTTTGTGTTAGTTACTAGGACAACTTCTCTTTCTCTTTGCACACTGCTGGGACTTACCGCATGTTATGGAGAAAGTGGCATCAGCGTTTATCACTCCAGCTCTCGGTCCTTTTCCTTTAGGTGAGCCAACATAATAAACACAGTAACTCTGCCCTACTCTCTGACCTGGGGCAGGCCCAAAGCTCCAGGAGGACTTTTTAGAGGTGTTGGGACTGGAGGAGGCTGAAGAGGTGTCTATGAGTGTAGAGAGGGTCTCACTTCTATTCACCAAGGCCAGTGTGGCTAATGTAGGTGAACAGAGAATGGACGCTTCCCTTTTCTGGACTACTGTCAGTGAAGAAGTTCACAAACATGCCCCCACCACTTCCTCTCTACTGGCCATGTGAACCGTACAGAAAAAAGTTGGGGGTTCTTTCAGCTTCAAGTGAGGCTGCTCATCCTTTGGGGCAGCAGATGCTTTTGAGTTTTTTTTCTCTTTTTGAGTCACACTCGGCGATGCACAGGGGTTACTCTTGACTCATGCACTCAGGAATTACTCCTGATAGTGCTTGGGGACCATATGGGATGCTGGGAATTGAACCCGGGTCAGCCGTGTGCAAGGCAAATGCCCTACCCTCTGTGCTATTGCTCCAGCCCTACTTTTGAGTTTGAATCACTGTGTCCCAACTCCCATCCGCCCTTCCCCAATCAAATTAAATCAAATCAAATCAAATCAATATAATCTTGTCCCCTCAGCAGGCTCAAGCAGGTATCTACCTGTCTGAACACTTGTGGGTGACACACAGGCAGTTTCTGCAGAGGAAACCAAGGCACTGTGGTCACAACAGCATAGATGATCCCAGGTCATAAGGCTAACAGGAGTATAGGAGTCTCAGAAAGGCGGCCTGCTTCTACAGCTACCTCTTAACAATGCTCCTGAAGGCAGGTATCCATGGCAGATTCTGGCACTGTCACTGGGTGTATAGATAAGCTGCTATGTAGACAGTTCTCTTCCTCCTGGAAGATGATATTCTGAAAAGTAGGAGGCAACCAACCTTAGAGGGAAATATTCTATTATTTCGGTTCTGCTTTGGGGCAGGGATTGGGGTTTGGGATAGAAACACCCAAAATATGGTGGTTGGAAGGTGTAATGGTGGTGGGACTGGTGTTTGAATATTAAATGTAATCAAATATTGTGAACTACATTATAAACTAAAAAATAAAAAATAAATTAGCGGTAGGGCATTTACCCTACAAGCGGCCAACATGGCCGAACCGAGTTCAATTCCCCCACCCCTCTCGGAGAGCCCGGTGAGCTACCGAGAGTATCTCGCCCGCACGGCAGAGCCTGGCAAGCTCCCCATGATGTATTCGATATGCCAAACACAGTAACAAGTCTCATGATGGAGACATTACTGGGCCCGCTCAAGCAAATCGATGAACAACGGGAGGACCATGACCGTGACTGTGAAATTAAAAAATAAAGATGCTGTTCTGAGGCACAGCTGAGGATCCACTTTAGACTGGCTGAGCCCTGGAGGATGGAGCCCTGCCCTAGGGGAAGGGAGAAAAAGGTTCCACATTTTCATTTCAGATCCCAGAACTTCAGAAAAGCAAGAAGGGAACTCAACTCTGCTGCTGGCGTCTTGACCCAGAGAACCTCAAGCTCTCACACTCGGGGTCCCACAAGGCAGCAAAAGACATCCCAGTCCAGTTTTGTAGTTGGGTTCAGACAGCCTGTGAGCATTAAATTTAAACACCTGTAATTTGCATCAAAATTCTATGTGTGCATTTTCCCAAATGCTCTGATCAAAAGACTGGGGTGCAGTAATGGGATTTGGCCCTTGGCTGTTGGTTGCCTCTAATGTGCTCTCTGCCATCACTGCAGGCCTGAAACCGTTCTGCACGTTGGTCCCACCAGCTTCACACAAAATAAAGGGTCATGCTGAAGCTGGACACCAAGCGGGCAGATAACTGCTCAGTGCGCAGCAATCCATTGCAGTAAATCAATCAAGTGATCCGAGGAATGAGCCTGAACTTTGCACAGGGAAGAACGATCATGTGATCATGTTTTTGGAAAGAGCTTTCTTGGGTTGTTGCTAACAACCTTTCAAGCCGATGCTGAGCATCCTGGGCTCATCCTGCTCTTCTACTTCCTGTTTTTAAATTCCATAACAATAGCAAAAAGGTTTATAAATAAATCAAAACTAGCATTCATAATAAAATGCAAAAGTGTTCTTTCTCCCAAAAGGGAACACTCTAGGACTCCCTGCATGCCTGGGAAAGACAGCCTGGGATACCTACCTACCTTGACCGACTTAGAAGCCAGGCACCTATGCTGAGTGGAAGACAGGAGACCAGAACATAGGGAAATAGGTTGGTCCCTTCCTAAAGGACCCAGGTGCCATCCTTCCAACTGGTCTTGCCTGCCCTGTATCCCTGAGCACTTTACCAAACACCTGACAGTCAAGGGAAGGTGAGGGAGCAGGAGTAAGAGCCTCCACACTTGGACAGGAGAGTCCTAGGGCCTGGCACTCTCCTGAGATTGTGGGGGTATAGGATGCAGGGATGATGGAGAGGAGAATGACTGAGAAGCAAGCACATGCACACACACTCACACTTGCACACAAAACACACACGTGCATGCGTGCACACAAGTACACATATGCACAAATGCATGCTCACGTGTACACACACACCACATATTCACTCGCATATGTACGCATGTGCACATATTTGCATACGCGCATACACGTACATGCACACATGCACAGACATGCAAGCACACATGCACACAGTGAACGCATAGGCTTGTGCTCGCACACACACTTGGAGGCAGACACACACAGGGACGCGCGCACAAATACACAAGTGCGCGCACGTACGCTCGCACACACACACACACAGACACACACACGCCTGTGAGCACACAGACGGAGAACTCGTGCACACACAGGCACACAGACGCGTGCGCACACCTCTCCCCTCCATCTCTCCTCCGCCCCCCACCCCAGGGGCAGACCGTGAAGGCGGCGGCTTTGGGGGGTGGGGGGGGTTGGACGGGACCGCGGAGGCCGCGGGGCCGCGGGGCCGGCGCGGGACCGCGGGGTCGTGGGACCGGCGCGGGGACGCGGGGACGCCGAGGACGCGGGGACGCGAGGACGCGGGGACGGGGTCCGGGCGCGCCAGCCCCGCCCCGCCAGCCAGCCCCGCCCCCACTCGGCCCCGCAGCGCGGCGGGAGCGGCGGTCGCGCAGCCTTTGTCTCTCCCGGCCGAGCGCAGCGTAAGTGGAGCGGGGCAGACCCGGCCGGGCCGGGCGCGGTGGAGACGCGGGGGCCGCAGGGGCGCGGGGCGGCGGGGCCTGTGCCGGCGCGCGGCGGGAGGCGGCGGAGCCCGGGCCCGGTGAGGAGCGGGCCCCCGCCAGCGTCCCGGACCCGCGCCGCCCGCCTCCCCCATCCCCGCGTGGCCTGGCCTGGCCTGGCCCGGGAGAGGCGTCCCCGAAGGGGATCCCGCGGGGGCCCCTTCGCCGCCCTGCGTGGCCTGCTTGCGGTCGCGGTCCCCATCGGTGGCAGGGATGCCGCTGTCGTGGTGAGGCCCATGTGATGCGGGCGGAACCTGTCAGGGTCTGATGTGCGGATGCGGGAGGGGGTGGGTGGGAGGACGAGGGCGGGTGGAGGGGGAGGAAGGGGATGGTGAGGGGCTTAGCTGTCCAAGAGGTGTCCTTTTGGACACCTTTTGGTGGTGGTGGTGGTGGTGATGGCGATGGTGACGGGAAAAGCGGTGTCCCCGCTAGGTGAGATCATGATGGAAACGTTTGCGTGTCCTCTGTGGGTTTGGGGGTGTCAGTCCCAGCATCAGGTAGGGACATAAGGCAGGTGAAACTTTCCACCAAAACGGAACCAAGACTGGAGCCAGAGACAGCCCCGAAGGTTGGATCTCATGCCCTGTGTGGCGGGGACCCTGGTCTCACCCCCCTGTACTTCACAGTGGGTCCCCCAGCAGCAAGCTGAGCCATGCCCACCATTCACCCCCACCCCCACCCTCGCCTTCCACAGCACCTCCAGGTGTGGCTCAAAAACCAAAATCCTAACGAGCAACCTCAACAACAATAATACCAAAATAGCAAAAGAGAGTATCAGTGGGAAACCAGGCCCCATAGGGATAAAGGCGCGAAAATACCCGTTGCATCTCTTTATTGGGGGTGCTATGGTGTCAGAAGGCCTCCGCCACCCTGCCTAAAAAATGTTTCAGTTGGTGTGTTTGGAATAGGCATCTGCCTGGTTCTCCAACTGCTGGGCTGGCAGCTCACACCCAGGGACATCTTTGAAGTACCTGCTGGTTCAATCTTTTAGTATTCTCTCTCTCTCTCTCTCTCTCTCTCTCTCTCTCTCTCTCTCTCTCTCTCTCTTTTGTTTTGTTTTTGGGTCACACCCAGTGGTGCTCAAGGCTTACTCCTGGCTCTGCGCTTCCGAGTCACTCTTGGCTGGTTCAGCCTACCGTGTGTGCCAGGGATCGAACCTAGATACAAGGCAGATGGCCTACCCACTATAGTATTGTTCAGGCCCCTGATTCTGTCTTGAACATCTAGACATAGGAATATAAGGATAACAATTAGACAAGGGGGTTGGAGAGACAGTAGGTAGGGCACCTGTCCTGGACACAGCCAAGTCAGGTTTAATCCCTGGTGTCTTATATTGTCTCCTGAGTACCACCAGGAGTAATTGTTGAGCACAGAGCCAGGAGTAAGCCCTGGACACTGCAAAGCGTGGCCACCCAAAGCAAAACAACAACAAAAAGACAACCAGACAATCCTAAATTTCTTGATACTTTTGGTAACTTGAAAGGTTTTGTTCCCCTGAAACCAGTACAGTGGAGCTCCATTTGGTTTTCTTTTCATTTTAGTGGGAGGTAGGGTGGACCACAGTCAGGGATACTCAGAGGATACTCCCTGCTTACTGTTGGGGTAGGGGGTGGAGTTCGAAGAGGTGCTGAGTGCAGGGCAGTATTGGCTGTTGAACCTGGCAAGCCTGTGCTCCACACTTCTGGGCTGTCTCCTCTACAGCCTCTCTCTTCCTCCACAATTCACTCCAAGCCCTGTCACTTCACTTGGAGGGCTAAGATGGTAGAGCACATGCTTTGTGTACAGGTGCAAGCCACATATCCTACGGGTAGATGTGAGCCTGCAACAATTCAGAAAAGGAGATGGGGGGGAAAAGTGGTCATGGTGTTAAGTAATGTGAATCCTGCTCAAGAGCATGGGGAATTGCTTTGCCTGTAGCTGATCCAGGTTTGATTCTGGCACCACATATGGTCTCCTGACTACCTCTGGAGTGATCCTTGAGTGCAGAGCCAGGAGTTGCTGGCTGTTTTCCAGAAGAAACAGATCCCCTCAATCTGGTTCATTTAACTTACCAGGTAGCTTGTGATGTCTTCAGCAAATATGGAGGAGTCCAGACCCTAAGACACAAAGCCTTTCCTGGTGAAGAAAAAAAAAATAGGCAGAGTCCAGCCAACAGAGGGTCTGTCCTATAGGGGCAGTAGGTGTTGGAGTTTGGGTGGTGGATGTGGGAGTTTGTTGAGAGGGAAAGGAAAGGCTTCTGGGAGTGTATGATCTTTCAATTGGGAATGGAAAAGGTGAGTAGAGGTGGTCAGCTAAAACTTGCTGCCTGAGGGAAGGAAATGAGGATTTTAGCAGGAAGGACTCAGAAATAAGAGAAACTGGAGGGTTTGAGGAACAAAAATAAGCAGGGTATGGTGGGGGGTAGAGAGACTCGGAAGTCTGGAACTGAACAAGGTGTGCAGCTATGCTCCAAGTGTTGGGGAGTCCCTGGATAGCTTCAGGGCTGGGCTTGGCTGATGCTGTCCCATTTCTGAACTGGCAGCTCTGTGGCATGAAGAGGAAAGATTGCAGAAAACTGCTTGGTCATTCAAGACAGATGAAGGGGCTAGAGGAGCTATAGTACAGGGGGTTTGCCTTGCACGCACCGACCCGAGTTTGATCCCAGGCATCCCATATGGTCCCCTGAACACTGCCAGGACTAATTCTTGAGTGCAAAGCAAGGAGTAACCTCTGTGCATCACTGGGTGTGACAGAGAAAGAGAGAGAGAGAGAGAGAGAGAGAGAGAGAGAGAGAGGAGAGAGGAGAGAGGAGAGATGGAGCTACCTCGTCTGGGCGGTGGTGATGGGATCTGAATGTGTTTTAGGAAGTCAAGTCAATATGATTTGGTTTGATAAGCAAAGGTTCCAAGATGGCTATAAATAAACCACAATGGGAGGGTGGGTTTTAGTACTATTGGAAATATGGGGGAAGGACATTGCTTATGTTCTATGCTTTGATAGATGTCTTTCTGGATTCAGTACATTCATTTAACTTACCAGGTGAAGTCAGTGTGGCTGAGAGCTCCTGTTGAGCGTTTAGCATTGCAGTCGTTTGGACAAATTTAATGTTTTCAATAGGACTATGAAAGTTTTCTGTTTCCACTTTTTTTTAATTTAAAAATTTAAATGCTTCATTTTGCATGTTTGAGGATCCCACTTTCACGCACTAATTGATAAGATTCATAATTTGTTTCACTTTGTTCTATGTGATTTCTGATGTTTTGCTTTAATCTACTCTGAAACACATCTGTTAATGGAGTCTTTATTAGGCCACCTGTATTATGGATAATTCATTCACTACCCTCAATTCTGAAATGGTGGAATTAAATTTCAAAACTGAATTGCAGCCTGAAAAGACACCTAGATGGTTAGATGAGCTTTTCCAAACACCTCCAAGACTCTTTCAAGGATCTATTCTTAATGATTTGAACTTCTAAAGTGATTCAACAACATAATCATAATTATTGTATTTCTAATGTGTTCGTGAGAAGACTCTTATTAACCAGAGTGAATGTTTTTAATTTTTTATACTTTTGTTGTCATACTACCAGTATTTTATTTCATTTAACAGAAAGAATTAGCGCATTTCATAATGTTTTGCTATCTTCAGGGAAAATCTGTGACAAATGAGAAGAAATGATGCCAATACTGTTCTTAGTGTCATTTTGCTCAAATTACACAATTTTCCTTTTTATAGGAATAAAAACTAGTACGTGATGTTCTGTACAGTGACAAGCAAAAAACAGGTCCTCAGATATTGAGTGGGTGCGAGGATGAAGGTACATGGAAAGGTACATGGAAAGAAGGACAGGACCAAGAATGGGTAGGTAGATAGATGAAAGATTAGTGCAGAGGCTCCCAAACTCACTGGCCTACCTCCCCCTTTTCAGCAGCAAACAAACAGAAAGCACCCCCTAATTGCATCCAAGGCCTGCATCACCTTACCACCACCTGCATCATTCTAATACCACTCTGAGAGGACTGTATCACTCCTTTGGGGAAACAGTAGCTTAGTGGAGACATGGGCCATGAATTCATGGATGTGTACATGACAACTGAGAATGATGGATGGATAAAGAGGATGGCATGAGAGAGTTCTACAGCCTAAGGAGAGTTAAAATCTCTACATAAAATATTGTATACTAAAATGAATGTTGTTTTTCCTATTTCTAATATCATCTTATACAAATCTACCTCTCCAAACCCTTTGTGTGAGAAGATAGTATCTGACACTCTATCTGCTGCCAGTTGTGGTCAAGACTACATTGAGTAATGGCCACAAGTGTGTGGTTGAAGTCAAGTACTATTAGAGTATAAACAATTCTTGTTACATATGGCTAGATAATGGATTGCCATTTGCAATTGCATTGAAATATATTAGAAATGTGCTTCTGGGGCTGGAGCGATAGCACAGCGGGTAGGGCATTCGCCTTGCAGGCTGTCAACCCGGGTTTGATTCCCAGCATTCCATATGGACCCCCAAGCACCGCCAGGAGTGATTCCTAAGTGCAGAGCCAGGAGTAACCCCTGTGCATCGCCGGGTGTAACCTCCCTCCCCCCCAAAAAGCAAAAACAAATAAATAAATGTGCTTCTGCTCTTGCTTTAGGGACATTCAAGTCCTTCCTTGGCAAGCCCACAAAGCTTTGGGTGACTCCCTTTTCTGAGTACAGGGATTTCTCCACTTTAGATGAGATAATGCAATGTTTAATACAGCATTTCACTACATAGCATGCTATGTAGAAGGACATAGTACCAGGATTTCAAAACTATAATTTATCAGAAAACAAGAAAACATACATAAATAAAGCTAATGTAAATTTAATGTAAGGGAAAATGTGATATAAAATTATGACCAGACAGATTCAGCTAGCACTTTGACTGTCTTTTGGGCATCTCTAGCTTA